TTATTTATTAAAATGTGTCTGCAGAGATATAAAATGTGTGTTTCATGTTAGTCAGATTCGTCAAAATTTCAAAGTTTATAATGCGAAGGTTTTAAAGCTTGCTTTAATTATATTCAGTTTCTTTCTTAGAATTTGAACTTTGCCAACACCAATGTAAATAAACCCAAAAAACTTTTAAAAAATCCAAGCAAAACCGAAAATTGCAAAATCAATTTTGTTTATCGCCATTTAAGTTTCAGAGTTGTTCATAAATTACTAATGTTTATTATGGGAATTAAGGGATTGAAGAGTTGACAAAAATGCATTTTTGTCAATTTTTTGGTCGAAGCCTTGAGATACTGTGATTTTCTTACCCAAAAAAACCTTGCTCGAAATGTGAACAAGTTGAAATGGAACAGACTTGAATTTCACTTTGTCAACGCGAATGTGAAAAAAAAATAAGAACTGAAAAACGTCCGAAGAAAATTGCTGCATGAAAATTGGAAGAAATTACAATCTTACGATCTCGGTTACAATTATGTATCAAAAATTCTTTATAACACTAAATAAACTGTCCGTTTGCAAGAAGAAAAAAAAATAGTTTTAAAATTACTCCGATCAAAGACCTGCTCAATGAAAATAACAATAATCCATTAAATAAGTGGAGGATTATAAATAAACCAAATAAATTTTAAAGATATATATAAAACTTCTTCACAGTTGTTAAACGAAAATTATTATTATTTAAATCGTTTGCTTCGAGTGCTGAAATATGCGCTCGCTCAAAGTTGCAAGATACATTTCAAGACTTCGCCGCTTGTGGCTGCGGTTAACCTGCAGGATGTCGGCCTTAACTTCCTCCAACAAACATAGAATAGACGTACGGTGCCGGAGTCAGTGAGTTTGTAAAACCCCCAGGGATGTTAAAGTTGGAAATTTAAAAGCGTCCATCTCAAATAAATAGAATGAAGTATGGGAAGACGATGCTTAATGTTTAAATATTTGATCGTTTAATTGGTTTGAAACATTGCGAATCGAGTACTTAAAATAGGAAATTTTTCATATACTCACGCTTGTGCAAAATTATCAAGTATTTGCAAGATTTTAAGAAAGCTGAAATTGAAGAAATTCTGAAAATTCCTAAATTGAATATATTTTAATTGCAATAGAGAGAAAGAAGCAAACTGCAAGTCCTGGAAAATTCACAGACTAAAGCATCAAAAGAAAAGTCGTTTATAGAACCAAAAACTAAATTATGAAACAGTACTTTAGTGATTGAAAACTACGAATAATAATCTATTAATTCATAATTCTTGAAAACTCTGGTATTAGTTACAGGCGCTATAAATTGCCGGCATTCGACGTTATTCACAAATCAAGTTCTTAGGAAAATGACTGAAATTTCTGCTTTCAGGTTGGTTGGATTAGTTGAACTGAAACTCCTTAAGGAGCTCTCATTTCCGTTCCTAATAAGTTCTCTTTAAAAGTTGGGAACAAGTTAAGACTTACGCTAGGCTCGCCAGTATTTTTTCATCGTCCTAAATTGAAAATAAAAGTTTCAGCTCGCTAAAGCTTCGCTGTAGCATGGAAGTGTTATTAAAGAAATGGACATGAAGGACGAATGATTTGGGAAATTGGGGCGAAATGAATTTGGAACTTTTTTCTTTTTCGTATTAAAAAAATTGATAATACATAAATTATGCCAAGTAAATTTAAATGAGGACAAATTCAGGTTGATGGATGCCACAGCCTGTGACCTAAAACAGCTTTTTAACTGGAGCTAACAATATTTTTCCGAACTAAACAAGACACAAACGATCCGAGATTGAACAAGAGATATCGTCCCCGTGATAGAGATATCGCGGTGAAAACCCGCTAAAAGACCGTAAAGCCTCAGTTTGTTCAGTTTCATTAATTTATTCTTGAAGGAGTGATGATTTAATATGTATTATACTGTGCGGAGAAAACGTTTTAAAACTCAATTAATCAAGAGACTGGTGAGACGGATTGTTATGACATATTAATCAAGGGCACCCTTATCTTACTTAAAACTTTCAAGCTTTCGGTGTTAACTTCTGAATGAATGATTTTCACCATATATTCGCAGGTAAATTAATTTGTTAATTAATATCACGATACCTTCTTTATTGAGAATTGTATACACAAAACTTAAAAAAAAAATAAAAATTTTGTGAGGATGAGGAACTAAATCAGAATATCGAAGAACGTTTTTTTGTTAAATTATTGCCTATTTTCCTTGAAACATGAAAACCAATTTTCATCCCCGCTCCCGTTCCACGGAACGTAGAAAGGAAATCGTTCTTGGTTCTCAAGGCAAACCGTCTAAGTTATTGACAAGAAAATGCAGAGAAATGAGGCTCAACAAAAGAGAATACGAACAAGCGCTCTACGGAAAGGGTTATTAAAACAAATTGAGTTTTCCACTGTAACCGATTATTGAGGGATTTTGTTTCCGTTTGGGTCTATTCGGGGATTAATTTCTATACGTATATCAATTTAGTTGATTGAGTTTGTTTCGATATAAGCTGATTTAATGGGATTGGGCAGATCGAATTGTTGTGCCTGTTTGCGTGTGTAGCTTATCGAGAAGAAATTTGTCGGTTTTTATTCAGGCTCATAGAATTAATCTTAAGTCTTTCCTGAGCGGTGCGTAAATGGCGCTTTGGCAAATATTTTTTTCTTCCAAAAATTCTGCAGCCATGAGCTGTTTGGACTAAAAGAGATATACAGAATTCAATCACTAAAGGCAAAAAAGAACACATGTGTTCAGACAAAACGCAAATATATTAGACCTAAATTAATTAACAAATGCAGTACATTTCTCCACAAAATATTGACTTTGAAAGTCTGTACTTATATCTTGTTTTTATTTAAGCATTTTGTTCAAGTGCTACTAATTATGGCACTTACGCGCACACATACATTTGATATAAACCGTAATGGAAAATTACGGTCTAAATCTATTAGAGAGCAGGAAAATTAGGAAAATTGGCTTGATATGCGTTAGAAGCTCCGGCGTGATCAACTAAAATTAGTTTATAATTTAAATTGGAGCAAAATTGGCCAAGCGTGTGCTATTTATTAGGCAAAGCGAGATAACCAATTTCGCCAAAATAAATCTTTCCAGTCGGATTACCTGGACCATCGCAACTTTTTTATGTAATTGTATTTCACGCTGTTGTTAATTAGTTTGGGGCCGGTTTCCAACAATATATTTAGGTACTAGATAATATTTTCCGGAACATTTGATTAAATGGTAAACTAGAAGAAAATCTATCCAAAAAGTAGTAACTTTAAAAATTTGGGTTCGTTTTAATACAAAGAGTAACAAGGATTCAGCTCTAATCTTTTGCAAAGTTTTCCAGCAGAAAATTTTTCTTTTCCTTTTAATTTTTTGTCTATAAATCTTGCCAGCTATAAAAGCTGATATTGTGAAGTCACTTGCAGGATTGATTGAATGTATTGCTTGCGAAATTTTGCGAAAATTTACACTAAATTGCACACAGCTAAACATGTGATTTATATGGGCTTCGACTCGTTTCAGCTAATTAGCACGAAGTTGATTACATATTCAAAGGCCGAAAAATCCACATGTTAACGCCTTTTATTTCATCCCGGACTAAAGCGGAACTTAAATTATTCCTTCAAATGGCTTTCATTTATTTCTGGCCCCCGGTGCATGCATAAATCTTGCGTATCCAGGTATTTTCAGACCGTTTTGAGCTACGGAAACGACCACCGAGGTAATTTAATATAGTTAAATAAATTAGACGATTCGGTAAGGAAACAAAAGGCTGCTGGCGTAAAAGAAATTTTATGAAAACAAGTCGTGCATGAAATGTTATTCTGATTCTTGCGAAATTTTATTAGGACAGACGAAACTGGGTATGTTTTATAATGCGTTTTGTACAACTCAGCAGCTTGTGTGCTCGAAAGCATGGCAAACACAAACAAAGCTGGAATTAAGCCTTTTTCAAACCTGAATATTTTTGCTGACTACCATTTAGTTCTTCAACATTCTACCTACTGTTTGCTAAAGCACAACTGTTGGTTTTAAAGTTGGTGAAAATAGTAAGCGTTTGGTTCTTACGTATTGGAGTAAACCATCGAGATCAAGTGTTGATCAAAAAAATTGATTTCAAAGTAGAATATTTTTCGAGGCAGTAGTTCAGCTGCCCACTGGTTAATCTCGGCCCTAAATTCTTCTATTGATGGACACTGATTTGAATAGTCACCCATTTTTAAACCAGAAAACTTCATTTTTCACTGGAAAAGAGTTGATTGCTCAACATAATTGGACAAAGATATAATATGATAATACGTTGATCGAATAATATTGCAAATACATTGAAACTGCATCTGTATGTTAATGATCACATGTCAAATGCAAAGCGAACGGCTTATCCAGTTATCCGAGTAATCAAAAATGTATGTCATATGAATATGGAATTTCATATTTCAAAGCGCTGTTGAATCGTGTTTGATGCATATAAGTTGTATTTAATTTAATAAATGTTTGGGCCCACAATTTGAAATAGAATTATGTATAATATTGTCACAAAATGTTATTTATTGCTGGCATTTTTCAGTATCAAAGAAATTTAGAGAAAATACGAGTTCCAATAGTTTGAAGTTACGTGTTTGTTAACGAGTGTGTAGAAATTTCCAGCTCCAAAAAATTCACGCAGAAAAAATTCAAAGTGTGGTTCAAACACTCACACACTGATGGAACCAAAAGCCCCAAATTTGAACCCTTTTTGGGTGGCCATTTATATTGCTTTAATTATTGATCTGAACTGTCGATGATACGAAATGTGGTTCAGATGTTCGTATTAGCTAATCACCTTTCAGATAATGTATTTTCCAACTTCCAACACCCTGTAAATTATACCTTGTTGAATAATTATTCATCCCTCCCTATCAAGCTGTCGAAACAAGCTTTTATCTGTAACTATTAGTACAAACTAATGGCATTTATATCTATTTTATTTCAATTTCAGGTCTTGCAGCTCCTTTCATCGAAGACTGTCCTCATGATAGTAAACTAGACGAAGATCACTGCATTTGCAATCCAGAATCGTGCGTGAAACCTCCATGTCTAACGGAATTAGAAGTGCATAAAAAAGGAACAGATGAACCCGGATCATGTTGCCCTATATACTCTTGTATAGGTTCGTAGACTGTGAAGGCAAATTGATCGAAACCTGAGCAAAATGCGTTTTATTCGGCTTTTAGGTTGCAAAAATGAGACTCTGTTAGAAGGTAAATGTCCCTGTGCTCCTGGTGCCGTCCTTAATGAAAAAGGAATTTGCAAGTGCATAGACAAAGAACGGCATCTAGTAAATGGAGAATGTGTATGCAATCCTCAGCAGTGTGAGCTGCCGAAGATCTGCGACAGGAAATCGCTTCTAACAACAATTGAAGACGGTTGTTGTCGAAAAACACGGTAAATCAAGTCAAATGTGATTTATGTTTATACTGAACTCTACTCAAAATTGCTACAGCCATTTGTAATAATAATTAATTTATTGCAGATGTGTTCCTTGTCCTCAAGACAGCGAATCCACCAACTTAGACACTGACGAGCTAGAAGACCACTGTGTCTGTTTACCTTGCATGAACGATTGTGGTTTTAACAAAACTGTGGTTGTGAAGAAGAAAGGCACCGGATTTCCTGGGAACTGCTGTGATCTGTATGAATGTAAGCCTATTGTAGACGAAAAAGACAAGGACTGTGTGGTAGGAGATATAATTTACGAAAATGGAGAAGAGTGGTCGACAGACGATAAACAACAGTGTCGATGCAAAAATGGCATTTCGTTGTGTGCGAAAAAGGCGGAAGAGGTAGGATGCAAAGACTGTGAACAGAGCAGTGTTCAATGTGAAATTTATATGAATGTTTCAGGCAGTGCTGCAAAATTGCTTCGATGAAGCAGTGATGTACAAGCACAACGAAACCTGGTTGAAAGATCGGGGCTGTACATTTTGCACATGTTTAAATGGTGAACCCGTATGCATAAGCCACTATTGCGACGTAAAAGAAAGCCAAATCAAAGAAAACAATTCAGCTCCATGCTTTAGAGACACGAAGATGTTTGCCCATCTTCACAGTTGGACGGAAGAAAACGAATGTACCGTATGCACTTGCTACAATGGTAAGTAATCGAACAACCTTATTTCGTGTTGAATGATGTATTCGCCATCTTCAGAAGAAACGACACTCTCAAGACAGCGAAAGTTTAATAAAAACGGCCAAGAGATCCGAGTTTTACGACAGAGTCATAATCGGTGTTTTTAGGCTACTGAGCTCTGTCCTCCAAAAATTCGCATCTCTGGAACTGGAACAAGTACCAACTTGAAAATTACATCACCTTTTGTAGCCACTTGACACTAAAGATGCCGAAAATTTCGCAACAATCGCCCGGAATGCGCAATTTTGCGAGGTCAGTTCATAACGATCTCATAATGAATAACGTTCCTCAACTGCGCTCTCGTCTTTGAAACTTCGCAGCTTTTACAATAAAATCAGTAGCCGCTGGAAATTTTCACCATGTTTAGAAGACGCCCGACTCTACAGACATGGAGAGTTTCATAAAAATCGCCTGAAGTCTTAAAATTTGCGATCTTAGTGTACACAGGTCTCATAATGAATGAGACTATCTTTTCTTTAAAAATCGCCGCTTCCACAATAAATCAACTAGCGGCTCAAAATTTTCAGCGTCTTTTAAAAGATACTTGAACCTAAAGATGCTGGTAGTTTCATTAAATTCGCGCAGAATCTAAATCTTAGCCATTTTAGTAAACATAGGAACTCTCAAAAGTCTCTTATATGGTTTTTCACGCAACTACGCTCTCTGTTTAAAAAATCGCATCTTCCCAACTAATGCAAGTGGAAACTTGTAATTTTCGCCACGTTTCGAAGGCATATGATTCCACAGACTCTGCGAGTTTCATAAAAGTCGCTTAAAATCGTGAGTTTTGCGAGCTCCTTACATATCGGTCTCATAAGCGAAGTTACTACTCAATTGCGCTCTCTCCTTAAAAAATTCGCCGCTTCCATTCTGAATCTAGTAGCAGCTCGAAATGTTTAGCATCTTTAAAAAGTACTTAAATCTAAAGGTGTGGAAAGTTTTGAACTTTTAGCCATTTTAGTAAAATTAGTAAAATAAAGTCCCAAAATTGGTAAATATTAGTGTCATAATGGTTTTTTACTCAATTACGTTCTCGCTAAAAAATCGCATCTTCCCAACTAATGCAAGAAGCACCTTGCAATTTGGGCCATGATTAGGAGACACTTGACTCTAGAGACTCCGAAACTTTCATGAAAATCGTCTGGAATTGACGGAAGGCGTTTTGCGAGCTAAGTACATCTCGATCGCATAAGGAGATAACTGCCAAACGGCGCTCTTTCCTTTAAAAATTCGTATCTTTTACACTAAAATAATTGGCGGCTTAAAATTTTCAGAATCTTTAACACATACTTGAATCTAAAAATGCTGAAAGCTGCATTAAAATTGCATGATTTTTTTGCCAATTTCGTAAATTTTGAAAGCCAAATTGGTCTCATAACTGTTTTCGGATCAACTACGCTTTCTTCTTTAAAAAATCGCAGCTTCCACACTAATGCAAGTAGAAGCTTGCAGTTTTCACGAGGTCTAGAGGACACGTGAGTCTAAAGACGCCGAAAGTGTAATAAAATTCGCTCACAATTCTCAGTTTTACCARCTTAGTAAATATCAGTGTTCATGGCTGTTTTTACTCAAGTGCACTCTTCCCTTTAAACAGTCGCATCWCCGACAGTAAATCAAGTAGCAACTTGAAATTGGCCACACTTTTAGCARGCATATSGCRCTAATGATTGCGAAAGTTTTATAGAAATCGCGAGAAACCTTCAGTTTTTAGAGCTTAKWGYATATCGGTCTCATAATGGATGTTACTACTCAACTGCGCCCTCTCCTTTAAAAATTCGCAGGTTGCGGACTGAGACAAAACGCAACTTGGAATTTTCAGCCTTTTTAGAGGACAGCTAASTYGAAAGATGCTWAAAGTTTATTTAAAAATCGGCAAACATCTAAATTTTTTGCCGACTTAGCAAATGTGTGGTAATAAAACTATTGAGTATCAAATAAAAATTATTTCTATGAAAAGAAAATATTTGCTTTTTAGTTARTGCCCCAATGAGCAGTTAGCAACCGACATTRAAATWAATTTATTGTGCCAAACRAACAGCTTCTTATTGCTGCAACAAGAACATCARTTCAGTTTAATCCAAACCTGTTCATGTGATTGCTTGCGATTTGTAAACCAAACTTTTAAAAATAATTTYCTAAGAATCAACCAGTTGAATTTACTAATTTCAAGAATCMATCAGAAGACAAAACATATTTTCTTTTTAATAAAAATCYCCYATTCAAATTTTCAGAATACCCGTAAGAATTTATTTTCATCTTGGGTGGGCGAGCCGTAACCTCGTAGATCGCAAAACGTTCGCCGATACTTATAAAAGCCCTCTGGAAGATTTGGTCATTAATTAAAAAATTAATCTGACAAAGGTTTCAATGCCGTATAAAAAGTCGTTAAAAGAAGTTGAAGTATTCTAATTGGATTATTTGCTCCAGAGGTATTGAGTTGCATTGAAATGTTCTTAGAGTCTTTGCAATAAATAGTATAGAAACTTTTAGAAAGAAAAAAATTGAAATACTTTGTATGGCATATTCTTGTAATCGGCTGTATTTCTTCGAAACATTTTTTATAGAGCTTTGTTAGAATTTAATCCAGGGCTAAATATCTGGGAGTTATTTTAGAACAGGTGTTTTCTTGTTTTTCCAGGTGAAGAAAAATGTAACTCAAAGCCTTGCGGAGAAAAGGAAATATCAAATATAGGTGAGTGCCTACCGCTAATCAACTGCAATAAGCCATGTCCTAACGGCTTGCGATTGAACAAGTTGGGCTGCGAAATATGTAAATGTAAGCCAGCCAGAGTCAAATCAGAACTGCTCAGCAAATATAACATCACGTACAGCGAGCTTCTTAATCTGTTAGAGGACTACAGCAAAAGTAAAACGGCTGCTACTAGCACTAGCATAATAAGCACGATCATTACCACCACACTTGCTACTAGCACAGAAAAAAATTCAGCCATGCCGACTGTTCTTATTATTAGACGGGATGGAACCGATGACAAAAATTCAGGAACGATGATTACTCCTGCTTTTTCCCCCAAGGATGGTAAGTTTTCACGTGCTAAGGAATTGTTACAAGCTCAAAATTAGAGTAACATATTTGCGATTTTTTCCTTCACTTTCTGTTTAGAATTTTGGAAGGCATGGATTATGTTTTAACGCCGGACTATTTTGCCATTAAAATTGTCGAATTCTTTAAATTCTCAAGGAATATTAGTATTTTTTAAGTATGCGGGGCGTGAAAATGAAGACGTTAAGCTCTCAGACCAAGGACAGCAACAAATCAAGCAATGTTTTTCAATTCAGCAATAAAACATTTTCTCGATATATTAAAATATTCATAATTTCAAAAACTAAGTTCTACGGGCAACAACTGAAAGATTTGTAATCTGTGTAATCAATGTAATTGGTGTAATCTTTTCTGTTTGGACATGTTTCGTGAGTGTTACTTTCCGGCTAAACCCATCTTTGGCGGTTTCTATGATGATTTAAAAAATGTCCCTTAATCGTACGAAAAAACCTCACATTGTCCTTCGTTCATTAAAACGCGCTTAAAAAAAACAATGGTGAATTCATGATTCGAAAAAATCTCAAAAATCCCCGAAAGTTAAATACAAAATGAAACTTTTGGGATCAAAAAATAGAAGGAAAATTTGAAGGCGCCTTAAAACTAGCAACGTTTAGAACACTTCAACTTTTTGGTTGAAAACGAAGCGAGTGCAACTATTTGTTGATGGTTTAGAGCATTTTCGGTAGCCAAATATTCCACAACTGATCTCCGCTAAACCCAACCAGACTCATTAATTTAATAATTATTTAAAGTATTCCATGCTATACTAATTCTCAGTTTTGCCTTACAGGTTCAACTTGCTGGATAACTCTATCCATTTTGGTCGTGTTCATTTTAGTGATCGTGGTAATTGGTATAATATTTTGCTTCTATAAAAACAAGAAAAAATACAGTGTGACCCCATCGCGTGGAAGCTACCATTCTGTCCTTAGTCCCACCAGCGAAAACAACAACACGATAAAAAAGGATTCGATTCGATTTGACAACGAGTGAAGATTCAATATCTTGTAACAGATAACATAGAGTAGGTTTATTCTTTTGTGATATTTTGCTTTGCGCAAACACGTTTACAGTATCTACGTTTAAACGAGCACTAAATGTATTCAAAGGACTGCAGCTTTTCAAAATCTGTTATCCCCTTATCTTGATACTTTTTATTAAACTTTATAGCCCCTGCTTCAAATTTCGAGCGAATACATTTCATGCTCTTTGAGTTGTTGAAAATATAGTTTATATAAGAAATATAAAAGTATATAATTCTAGGTACACATCCATGCGAAAAATGTGAAATGCTATAATGGGTGCACATACATACGGATGTTTTATCTCGTTTTCTAATGATGTGATAAAAATAACACAAAAAGTTGAGAATTATTTTACGAACAGTGTATAAAAGATTGAAACACATTTTTGAACTGGAAACAATGCAATATTGTTTGTGATATAATTTGACCTTTTCGTCAATCCGCATGTCGCTAGTGAAAAATGATTATCCTAATTCGGAAAGCAGGGTTTCAGTTCACCGATACTTTTATGTATATGTTTCTTCCTAACTAACGATTATTTAACATGTTAAAGCGAATTTCGCAGCAAATTATCAAACGAAAAACGAAAAAAAAAACATGACAGAATTTGAATTTCAAGATCTCAAAAAGTTTAACATTTCTACTTTATTCGGATTAATTTTTTTAGTTAGATTTGTAGAATGTTAATTTAAGTGTATAGTTGGCAAATATAGTGGTTATTTTATAAATATTGAATACGTTTAAGATTAGCTACTATCTCAATGAATGCATGTGTTGCAGAACTATAAAAATCATTGAAACCGGTACTTTCTTAAAATAGTACTGGCTAATTGTTGCTTTTTACTATTTAAAACACGGGAATTTTTTAGCTACTTTTCAACTAAATTCTGCTAATTTGCTTCAAAAACTTTGGATTCTACTGCTCATTTTCATAGAACAAACCGTTAATTCCAAAGGAGTTAGAAAGTTCCAAATTCGGTAAGTTTAGAGTGTTGTTCCTATGATTAAGACTTTAATATTTTTTAAATATGATATATAATATGTAACTTATTTTTGTTAGAGTTAAGATTCATGTGGAAATGCCTCTAATCCAGACTAAATACAAAAAAGTCAATTGCCAAAGCAGTAACTTTTGCACTTGGTCTGGTTCGGGCTCTCAGTATTTCATAAGTATTTCGCGACTTTGTTTTCTATTTAACAACGGTCTCCCACACTATTCGACGTTCTAACACGAGTGATGCTAAAAGAACACTAATTCCATGTAATGTTATTCTATTGATCGTTGTATTGAACCCAAGAGTATGTTGTTAATAAATATTAAAGTGTACATATATAATTACGTTAATTAGGTATAAGGTTAAAAAGTGATTTTCTAGTTTGTTAATGCTATCCTATCGCATCAGTTTTTTTTAATTTTTTTGCATTTATATCGAGAATTAGGATTTGGAAATTGAGTTTTCACGTGCATACAGAAAATTGCTGTCATGTACCGGGTGATTGAGCGATGCAGAAAAGTCGCCAGCTGCATCTTAGGACCCGTTAATATCAAGGTTCATTAGATAAGTGGTGAAAAAGACGAAGTGTTAAAAAAGGATCTTTTTGATATGCCGGTTGCTGAAGCAGCAAAATAACTTTACGAACCATATTTTCTTCTTGGCTTTTATTATAAATAATTTTTAATTATGAGCCTTGGAAAAAATGCTTTTCCTGCAGACTAAATTAAGTTAACTAATAATATTAGAAGATCTGTTGTCAAGAGCGAGGTAAGATGTGATTTTTGCTTTTTATCTACTAGTTTGGCGTATAATTAATTAATGTATATTTAGTTTCCATTATACATCAGTTTTCAACAAAATTTCATCGACAACATTTATGAAGACACTGTAGGTAAGTGAAAGCTGGGAAAATTGATCTTCGAACTTTTTGAATTGTTCAAGTAATTAAGCTCGAACGAGTCCTACATTTTCATTCACATACGAAATATCTGTGATTTTTTATTTAAAAAAGACTTGGCGGTTTTTCTACATTTTTGCTATTAACAGCATGATGAAAATGAAAAATTTGATTATTTGAATGAGGCAAATCGAAGAATCTGTTCGAAGAATATTTCTGTTGATCCAAAATTCTTCACCTCCAACCTTTAATAAATCTCGAATCATTATCTCCAAACTTTAATAAAGAAAATGACAATTTTCAGCTATAAAATAAATCAAACTTTTCGAGAAAATCAATTAATTCGCTTTTTCACCTTTTTAGTTCCAAGTCCAGGTTTCTGAGATACACTGATCGATTTATCTGCATGATTCGCCCGATAATTTCTTAATCCTACGCTTTCGCAATCCTGAAGTTGCAATGATTCAATGAACTAAGCCAGATTTAACAACGTTAAAACTAGTAGTTTAATAAATAGGTCTTGATATAATCTATAATGTAGATTTAGGCGTATTATAATGATTATTGTACATATGTTCAGTTAGTTCAACGTTAATGTTACTATAAAAAATAAAATATAAAAAGAAAGTAGCTTCAACCGATGGGTTTTCATTTACAAAATGGGTTATTAGATTGATTATTTATTAAAAGTTTGCAAATCGCGAATCCCCATTCCTGGATACTACATTTTAGGCGCAAAAAAACAGTTTTACGCAACTAAAATGTATATACAAATGTGTACTGGTTTAAAAATTAAAAATAATTTATTTGAAGCCCGACTTAAATTTTTTTTCTGGAGGACACGGATTCTTATTTAGTTCTTCAAATAATTTTCGTCTTGCGGCGCTTTTAACATTTTATCACAGATAATTGTTACCGCAAATAAATCTGCATTATTCAGCAATCCACTTCTTTCCTGTGTTATCAAAGCATAGTTTTATAAATCGATGTATAAAAAAATTTGGAAAAACGGTTGCTGCCGCAGGTTTTGAAATAAATACAGGCAGAGCAAACACTCAAAAAACTCCTCTTTGGAAAATAATTAAGTTTCTGATACTCCAATTTATTGATCTTCATAGGGAGATTGTAAACGTTCCAAATGCGAAACAAAATTTTTTGAGCGCACCATACATTACGGGTACTTTTGTATTCACCGCGTGTAGTATTGACAAGTGATCAAAATCAACCGAAGATAGTCGCATCTTGATTATGGCATCTGTGTATTATTTATTCGACGATGCGATTCACCTAGCCGATGATATTGTTCAGGAATATTCGTAAGTTTGATCAGCAGCATTTCTTTCCAAAATTGTAATGTGCTCAAAAATATTTGAAAAATTATCTATTTCGACTGTAACATTTGGTGGTAGTATTTTTGTAGTTCTATTTAAAAGTTGTTGATTTGAAAAATCTCAAAAGGAAACAGCAGACGAATCTGAAAGAAAACCACTATGCAGCGACAATAATTCAAAGGACATATCGTGGTTACTTAATACGAAAATCGTACAAGAAGCACCTGGAAGCAATCATAGTCTTCCAGAAGTATACTAGAGGTTGGCTTGTAAGGTATCATCTTCCGGATCGGTTGCACGAGTTCTGGGACTCAATGTGTCTGAACGCATATAGCAAAGCAGCTGCTAAACTACAAGCTGTCTGGAAAGGGTATAAAGTAAGTGAACTATTGCAAGTGATTATTTTCAAGCACGCTTTTTATGGGGGTTACCAAATGTTGGGGAAGCGATTTTGTTCTGGAAATCGATTTAAACAAGGTGGTGCTTGGACCGAAAAGTTGAATATGTTTTCTTGGATTTTTGCGTAGGGATCTAAATTTTCATCCATGTACACACCATATTGTTTAGGCTCTAAAACCAACCGATTATCCACCAAGTTTACATGAAAAAATATCTGTATTTTATTAGTTATTACATCGAGTTATGCAAGTTTTGCCGACAGAATTCAAGGATCCGTACAGACAAAAGGAAGGCATTAAGAGACATAATTTTATAGAAATGAACATTGTATATGGTGATAATGTTAATATTGTGTTTGAATTTAAATAGACCTTATCACTTTTTGTATTACGACAATTTCAAATTGTCCCCTTCCCACATTGACTTCTATTTATAAGAATCATAGTGAATAGTACAAAAGAATTCATACAAAACAACGATTAATGGAGTGGTTTTAACTAAATGAATATTCAGTAAGTCCGCTGATAATGAACCCGGTTATAGTGAACTTTCGGTTAAAACGAACTTTTTTCCTTTAATTGAAACGTCGTCCATAAAGGCCAACGTATTTTTTACTGGTTATAACGAA